TTCTACAATTTTTCTGTTATCACTGTGTACATTTCTGTGGTTTAGGGTGAACGCAAAATTGGTTGGCCTAGATCTAGGCTATAAACGATGAATGCACACCGGGTGAGAATAGCCAGAAGACTCGCCTGCGCTATTCTCACCTGGGGTGAGAATAGAGGTGGCCTTTTAAAATTTGTTCTCTTAGCCTTAACTCAGACGAATTAGTTTAAGACTAGATCTTCTAACGTACTAGATTCTAAATCTAGTAATAGAAGGCTAAATGTCTATGGCTATGGCATTTGAATTTGGATCACAATTATTATAACGAAGTGACTATTTCTCCGAACGTTCGGGAAAATAAATTTGGGCTCTATCTCTCCGAGCAGTGGCCTCTTTGAACATTAGACCACCACTAGATCTACTCCGGTAGAAAGGCGGGGGGGGGGTGCAGAGAGGTTCACCCCCCTGCTAAAAGTCACAATCTAGATCTAGATAGCTAGGCCTAGCTTGGGACAGTTTTTAGTGCCAAAAAAATATTCCCAGCAGGTTGTCTGCTAATCTTCAATTTTACCCGAACGGTTTCCGTTCTCGAGATTTTTTGGTTATTTGCGAGATTTAGGCGTCACTTTTCATTCTGCCATTCTGCGAGGACTGGGAAGAAACATTTTGTGCATCGAATTCAATTTCTAGAGCTAGAGATTTTTAAATGTCTGAATATTCAGATTTCTTCAGTTGTGGTTGGGGCAACGGTAAATTTTTACTTTCGCTCCCACACACAAATGCACTGCTTCGGGGGGTCAAACTGCAGTACTGATTGCTGCAGATCACACATAAAGCCACTAAAACTGTCGCAAATCTATTATTTTCAGGGAAATTTCAAATCTAACTGTAAAATATAAAATGAAGGGTTAGAACAGCCTGTAACCCACACACACACACACACACACACACACACACACATTTTCTTTTACCTCAGGGGGCAGGCCCTTATGGAACCCCCCGATTGGTCCAAAGCACGTCAGATGTTTCAAAAATTATTAATTTGCAACGGAGATGTTGGTATTCTTGTTCAGCACATCAATATTTAGTAGAAAATGGACAACTGATACTAGACTGCGTGTGAGACGGGAGGGAAAGTAATTTATAAATAACGGCACAACGTTCCCGGACTATCTATACTTCATTTGAAAATACCTTCAAAAGGTACTGCGAGAAAACAAGACTCATAGACCTTGGCAGTACGGTAACTTGTTTTGCATTTAGTCACTCCACGCCCCACTCCCCTCCTGCCCCTACTCCCTGTTCACTCCTTACATACACACATGCACACACACACATACAGGCCACTCTATTTGCAATTATTATCAACAAATATCGAGAGCGGAAATCGTTCGGAGAAATAGAGTTCAAGTTTATTTTCCTGCACTTTCAGAGAAATAGAGCCAGCCTTATTATAAAATAGAAATGTTAAGATTCTTTTATTTTCCCTCCCGTCTCACACTTATCTACCAGTTGTCCATTTTCTACTAAATATTGATTGATGCGCTGTGCATGAATATCATCATTTCCATCGCAAGTTAATAGTTTTTGAAATATCTGATTTTTCTTAATCGAGATATTCACACATGTCTAACTGCATAGTAGTAATTTGAACCCCCTGGGGTAAAAGAAAAGGAAAATCGGGGGGGTTACAGGGGGTCATGCCCATTTTTTAATGGGGCTAACATTTAGCAGGCGTGATAGAAACCACTGATATAATTATAGTAGTGGCCATCTAAATGCATGTCAATCAAAGGCACACTTCAGTCAAATGCATGCTTTCGTCATTTTATGATGGGTTTTTTAGTGTATGATTTAGTCATACATAAGTATATGGATACACTTCCTCTAAACAGACTTTGATCCAGGAAACACGTTGACGGGTAAGAGAAATCTTGGCAACAACCTAGACATCGTGCTGTCCACAGTCTTGTGTTACACGATGTTACTTAACCCTCTTTGCGCTAAGCCATTTTTACCATTACTTCCCTTCAGTGCTAGGTTTATTTGAGAAAAAGGCTACTTTTCAACATGGTTACAAAAAAAGCTCATATCTTTCTTATTTATCATAGTTTCTAATTACAGTAAGAAGGAAAAATGTGTCTTAAATAATGAACTGGTCAGATATATGTAGTTTTTTATTTTTATGATGATGTTGTTGTTGTTGGTATCAAAATCCTCATAATTTTTAGTCCAGCCTGCTTGGAGATCAGCAGGAATATCGACGTCCCCTTCTGGGCTTATACCTCGCTATATCTACGACATGACATATCCCCATCATTCACCTGTAGATCTAAATCTTTTATTTGAGGACCTAATCCTTCAAACTCAGCACTCTTTATCACTGTCGTCTGATTCCAGAAAAATGTGGGGTAAATCTGTGTCTAAATCAGCTGACGAATCCGACATTTTGAAAACTCTAAACAATATCCCAGAAAATTGCAGATAAAAAACTCCAAACCGATCCCTGAATGCGAAATGCGCTGCCAGCGGCACTAATAAACATTACACCTGTGGACTGTAGTCACCAGCAGTTTAAAAAGTGTCTATTCTCATGTCAGCGGTATAGTCTCTACACTCATGTCGGGTCACGACCGGTGATGCCTGCGGACGGGAGGTATAAGTCATGTGGTCATGATGCGCACGCACAGGGTTAATGTGTATGGATGAGAAAGTTCTTTCTATGTGGTTGAACTGGGTTTTTTGTGCATACGAATTGTGTTTACTTGTGTATGTGAGGTTTACTCTCCTAGAATATTGTCATCAATGCAAAGCACTCAGAATATGGGATATGGTGCAATACAAATGCAGTCTTTTCAATTATAATAATAAAATATTTTAGAATTTATTTTTAATATTATTTATTATTATTATTACGATACGGCCCTCCCATAGGCATAGCATTGAGGCTATGTGCACGGCCCTCCACTTCACATCATGCTAGGCTTTGTAGGTGGCACATAAACTATCAAACCGGACACTTCAGGTGAACAAACTTAAACCCTGGAAGTGCTCAGGCCCTTTATGAAGGCTGCCCGGGAAGCGCGCAGGCCCTATATATATAGGGATGACCTACTTCGATTGGGAAGCGCGCGGCTTTAAAGTGCAAAGACGCTGACCTTTTTTTAATGGAAAATGACGGTGTAAATTACAGGTCAAAGTTATAAATAGTGACCAATGACTTTTCAAGTTATCTTGACCTGGTTGGACGTCTCTTGGACAAAGATCATACATATATAAAAATAGTTCACTCAGCCAAAAAGGGGTCCACGGAAGTCCGCACTTCGGTTCAGATGACGCTGCAGTTTTTGTTTTAAAGTTCTCTTTCGTTTCACCAGAAGAAGAATAGGAATAGCACAGTTTTTTAGTTTCACTTTTTTTTTTTTTCACACAAGTATAGTGCAAAATCCGCACTTTTTCAAAGAGGGCGCCACCGAATATTGAGGACACTTTTTTAATTGGCTCAATTATAGAGGGGTGAACCATTTTGTTTTTCACGATCTTTGTCTTCGCCTAGATATCGATCGATAAAGTGACGCTTTCCAACTGAGCGATTATCAATGCTGTGAGCATACTTCTATCTAAATATAGGTTTCAGGGCTGTATGCATAGCCATGAGCCATACGCGTAGCTTTGAGGCTTTGCGCATGCATAGCCACAGGCTTATTATTATTATTACTATCTTGCACTAACTAAAAACTTTGTATTTCAGCTGAAGTACGCATAGCTTTGAGGCTTTGCGCATGCATAGCCACAGGCTTATTATTATTACTATCTTGCACTAACTAAAAACTTTGTATTTCAGCTGAAGGAGGAAGTGCAGAAGAAATTTAATGCCCCTTATGAGCAGTTATGCATTATATTTGCTGGAAAAATCATCAAAGATGATGACACTCTTGAACAACATGGGATTAAAGATGGTCTCACAGTTCATCTTGTTGTCAAGTCTCCAAACAGGGTGAGTGCATTGAAGTAAATGCTTTGTAGTCAGAGAATGGCTCTGAATTTTGTTGCTGGATTTTCACTTTTATTCTTTGCCCCACCGGCCTAATGTCAGAATTTTTTTTTGGGGGGGGGGGGGCGCTTCATTTTGGGAGAAAAGAAAAGGTGTGAGGTTGATAGTCTAGTGGTTAAGCCAACAGATTCATAATAGTAGGGTCCAAGGCTCAACTTGGCTTGACGTGTCCTTGAGAAAGGTGCTTGACACTAATATTTCTCACGTTAATCAGGTGTGATAAGGTTCCTAGTCAAAGACAACAAACAGTTCTGTCAGTACATTAGTGCTTTAACACCTTTAATTTTGCAGCTTGCATTTTATTGTTTCGAGGAAGTTGAAATTGTTTCAAAATACTTTTAGGTGTGCAAGGGTAATGATACAGACGGTGAAGCACATTGAGCTAGCTTTTGGACCGGAATATATGTGCAGAAAAGTACTATTTTTTAAATTGAGGAGTCCACAGGAAAAACGGACATAGTCACACTCTGAAAAATGCGATGGTGTAAATTTTTAAAGTTTGTGGGCTCCGGACTTCATATTTTGTTTGATTGGTGGTTTATTGTTATGTTTGTTGAATGGAAAATCTAACAACAATATTCGATCAACAATTGAACAGAAATTAATTCAAAATTGATACCCTCGCGATTTTCAGGCTGTGACTTTTCCCGTTTTTACCATGGACTCCACAATTGCCACCTCTTTTATGTTGAGAGTTTTCTTTACTTATGAATAGTCTAAATTGCCTAAGATACCCACCCCTTGATATGGGCTCTTTGTAGAATTAGATAATTTGATTTTAATAGATAGCATTTGTATAGCACCAATGACAAATTCCCTGCTCAACAGCAAGCTCTTTGCACTTCACAATCTATGTTATTATCCCAGCAGACCTCATAGCATTCTGAAACAATTCAACTTCCTGGGAAGAATGCAGTGTGCAAGGTGCCATTTTACAGCGCTAAAACACTGGCATGCTGACAAGACCTTTCACTGTTTATGGTGAAGTGAGGACAATTTGTGCCAAGTGCCTTTCCCAAAAACTTAACGTCAGGACTGAGGCTCGAACTCCCAAACCCAAAACTTTATGATTAAGAGCCCGGTAGCCTAACCACTAGATTACCGATGCTGGGTTTACACCCGTTGTTACTATTTATTTGCAGCTACTGCCCACTTAGTTGTGCCGTGAAAAAACTTTTAAGCAATGCTGACTCCTTTGATACTTCTTTCAGAACACCACAGCCATTTGTATTATCATTTTCGCACTTGTCATTGTACATGTACACGTAGCATTTATATGAAGGTAGCTACAGCGTCCATTGAAAATTTTTTGGGTTGTTTTTTTCTCCTGCATATTTAGAAGAATGATCTTAGTTTACTGCTACATTCAACAGCTATAGTTAGTTTATATCTGTTGCTGCAATTTATTTATTTTTTTAAGTTGCGTGTGCCATAAACTTTTGTCATGCTTTTTCCCAGACGGCTTCTGCCCCACCTCCAGCAGCACCTGCAGCCTCCACACCTCAAAATGTAAGTACAGACACGTTGAATCGTTCTTTTATTTTTAACCTGTTGTGATAGAGAAATGCACTGTGTTGTACATAATGGCTTCATATTTTCTTTTTTCTGAAGTTATTCAGCCGCTATTTTTTGTTGTTGTTGTTTTAAGGGGGGGGGGGGGGGTTTTTTTTTTTTTTTACTGTTGTTAGTTGCAAATTTTGTTACAGACTCAGTGTTTAACTTTTTTCCATAAGTTGTGTGGAAGGTATATATCCTTATGTCCGGTGATGCACTGTATATACAGTCGAAATTGTCGAAGACAACCGCCCATCATTGAGGAGAAAAATGGTGTCCAATACAGGTTTACGTCCTGGACAGTGTCATAATTATTTTTTAAACAGGTGAGGGAGTTGTTTGTACAGGTGGTAGTCTTGGATAGGTAGGCTTTAGAGCAGATGGTTCAAATCTATAAGTATAATTTGTACTTCTATTTGGACCGCTTTGTGAGTAGCAGAGTATTGAGTCTTTACTTCTTTCCAACGGTTCCTAGCTTTAGATGTACATCGCCAGGTTAACCAAGTTGTTCACGTAATGAATAAATGGTGAACTCAAATCTGTTTCCAGACTGCTCCAGACACATCCCAAACGCCATTCGGTCTTGGGGGTATTGGAGGACTTGGAGGGTTGAGTGGCCTGGGCATGGGTTCTGCAAACTTCATGGAAATGCAGCAGCGGATGCAGAGAGAGGTAAGAAGTGATTTGTCTTTAGTGTCAGTTTGGATTTTGAAGGACAGAGGTGTAAGGCTGTTGATATTTGTTTTACGTACCTTTCCTAGAGATCCTGTACTGGTAAAAATTGATGGGGGTTTTTTTTCAATATTTAGTAATGGTGAACCAATAATTTTAGAATTTTGATTTGAGTGAGATGAAATTACATGGATTTAGTTGAGGGGGAAAAATGAAGTAAGTGTATATGAATGTGAAAACTGCTTTTGTTTCTTCTTTATTTTTATTTTTACGAATGATTAAATGTTGTTCATATTTATACTGATCTATATTTAATCCGAGGATGATTATTTGGTTTTCTCTGGAATTTCACTTTATTAAGAGTTGATTTTAGATCAGCCTTTTTTAGATATACAGTGCTCCTCAAAGATACAACTTTGGGCCAATAATGTACATTTCTATAACTCATACTCAGTTTATTGTGTATTTGATAGTACATTATTTTTGTGGAATGTTTTCTGATCTTTCTTAGATGATGCAAAATCCTGATATGCTGCGTCAGTTGATGGACAATCCCTTTGTTCAGTCCATGATGTCTAATCCAGAGGTGATGAGGACCCTTTTGATGAACAATCCACAAATGAGGGAACTCACAGAGGTGAGTGATTGCCCCACAGCTACACTGATGAAAATAAAGAAAAGCTGGGTTGACTCCTTATATGACTGGCTTCCTTCCAAACAAACGGAATCGGTCAAATGTTTCTTTCTTACTTGATTCCCTTCTCTTTATCTTGGTGTGTGAGAGCTTAGCCAAGTTTGTCAAGGAGCAGATTCTTTGATGAAATCACTGCACTGAATACTTTTTTTTTAAGTTCCTTGCAATGAAAGTCTTGCAGTGGTGATAATTTTCCTCCAATTTTCCGCTTTTTTCCTTCTGACATAAATTTTCCTCTTTTTTTGAAAAATTTACACGCCTTTTCTGCGATTCCGACTCGGCGGAAACATCTCATGTGCTTCTGTCGATAACAGGTGATCGCCCGATCCGACCCGTCGAAGATCAGATTTGGCCTAATTCGTCCATTCCGTTCTCATGCTTTGCGAATGTTCGGATTTCTGAGACTACCATACGTGTTTTATTCTGTTTAAGTTTAAACCATATTTTTATTCATCTTGGCACCAAATGTAATTAAATTCTATCGAAATGAAGGAATTGTCGAAAGCAGGAAGTGATCTTGTGAGGGAAGTTGACAGTAAGGTGAAAAACGAGTTCCGTTATGACAGGTTAGATCAAAAGGTTGTGTTGAAGACAAAGAAAGGAGAGACTAGCATTTCATTTGGTGATTCAATTGTGAAAGTGGATTTTCTGCGAAAAGCACTATGCAAGTATTGTGATAACTTGATAAACTATGCCAGCTGAGGTAAGGATGCAATATTGATGCACCTGAAATCTAGTAAACATGTTAATGAGGTCGACCATCAACAAAGCAATTACACTCTTGGTGCTGACTTTGGTACAGCCACAGAACTAGCATTGTTTCCCCTTTTCAGTACAAATAAAAAGAAAAATGAGTCCTCGTAGTCATAGGTAAGACCATAGTTACATTAGTTGTTTTACAGTGTTCTGTTTTCAGTTTCAGAATCAGGGTCATCAAATAAGGTTTGTAGAGGGGGGGGGGGGTTGTGCTTGTTTGTGGGGCGATGAGAATTTTCCTCTTTTTTGATTTTGTATTATCACCACTGGACTTGAGACATTGTTGATTTGGCTCTTATTTACATTTCGTTAAATGGGAGTCAATTTCCTGTCTTGTTATTTTCAGAGAAATCCCGAGATTTCACACATGTTGAACAATCCTGAGTTGATGCGTCAGACAATGGAACTGGCACGGAATCCAGCCATGATGCAGGAATTGATGCGTTCTCAAGACAGGGCCATGAGCAACTTGGAGGTAAGCTGTTGCATGTGCAAACGGTTCTTGCATTTGTTTGTGTTATATGTGGGGAAATTTGGCTGAATTTGATCCACTGATAAGCGACATAGCCTTCAGGAAATATTCATAAGTACCAGACGTTTATGACAGAAGTATTATTCTACATTGGTTAGTGCAGGAAACCCCTCACACTCAAGGCCTAATTCAGTTAAAACCATCTCGAATTTTTTAATTAACCCTTTGATTTTGACAAATTTTTTAATTGTCCCTATTGTTTTACCTATATATTTTCAATCTTGCATAAAGGGAATGCGCATGTAGCGAAACGTGCACATAGGGAAAAGATTTTCAAACCCAAAAGTTTTTCTTACATATCATAATCTTTGTATTTAAAACAGAAATCTATCAAAATTTGGACAGAATTCTGCATCCCACCGATTTCATATTGTGCATGCTAGGCTGTATTTTTAATGCAAAAAAGATCTTAAGGATAGCTGGTTTGCCTTCTTTACATACATTTCGAGTCATTGCATTTAGGAATTTAGGTTAAAACTTTTTTACAGGTTCAGTATAGGCGTTAAGAAAATCTTTTTGCTGGTGTGTTGTTTTTTCAATTTGATTCTGGAATGTATAACCACCTATTTATCTGAGCCTCTACTATAATATAACCATGGTTGTAAAAAAGTGAATGGACCAGTCTGGGTCTAGAGTAATAGGTCTTGGGCTGTTTTGGCAAAATACAAAAAAATAGAAATGGGAGTAAGACTCCATAAGAACTCAGTAAAGGGGTGATGACTCTCACTGCTAGACATGGTTTGGATTAGAAAAGTGTTATGTGGCATCAAGAAATACCTGTTTTTGTCTTGGGTGTCCTCTGGTGGGGCATGTGTCTTATTGTTTTTACTTCTTTTTTTTCCGCAGAGCATCCCCGGTGGCTTCAATGCTCTCCAACGTATGTACAGAGATATACAGGAACCAATGATGAATGCTGCTCAGGAGACAATGGGTTCCAATCCTTTCGCGTCTCTAGTGAATAGCAGTAGTGGCACTGGTAAGAGTGGCCTTTTGTTGTTGATTTTTTTTTTTTTTTTTTTTCCGTTCACAGCGATGTGTATGATTTAACTTAATCCACAGATAGCCATAGGCTGGCAAATATTGTTTCTATGAGCTAGTTTTAAGAATATGTTTTTTATGTAGCATTTTATCTTCTTCAAGTTTTAAACAGCTGCTGTTGATATCGTTGAGGAGTTTTTTCCCCAATTTCGTGAACATTATTGTGATGTAAATTAAAAGCAATTAATGTAGAGATAGTGATCAAGACATAAATACTGGTTTTTGTCTCAGAAAAATTTAGGACCTTGTATTTTCAAATCATATTGCTCTTTAGGAAACAGCATACCCAGAGCCTTGTGCATCCTAGAACAATAAAATCTTGATTTTCACTGACTTTTTGTGAGACGTTACATAAACACTGTTTTTGTCTTTACTTCCAACTCGCCAATGTCAACTCAGGCGAGAATACTCAACAAGGAAGAGAGAACACAGAGCCCCTTCCGAACCCGTGGGGAAGCTCGACACCGAGCACCACCAGCACCCGGACATCCACAACAGACACAAGTGGTAGCACAGGCACTGGTCAGACATCGGGGGCCGCTGGCATGTCAGGTTTGTGGAGTGCCATTGTTTTAGCTGCTGTTTATCAAACGCCCATACAGTGTTGTATTGGGTGAAAGTCTTGATAAATCATTCCCTATTAATACATAAGGTTGTTGTTTTGGATAAGTTGTAGAATGTCTCCTGTCTCAATTTGTGTCTGCTTGCATAACCTCTCACTCCTTGAAACAAACGTTTATTTATTTATTTATTTTTTAAAGAACATGGTTCCCACAATTTTGTAGTATAAATCACTGCATTATATTAATCTACAGTTGAGGCTATCAAGATTTAGTCTGATCTCATTATCTTATTTTCATCCCCAAAACATCCTCAGTCTGATCCACCCAGTTTGAAACTTTGCTTTGGAGAGACTTGCTACCTGTGTGTGAAGCTGTTTTTTGTACTTACTGTAAAACTCTTACTTCCCAACAGCCCTTCCCTTGTTTCTTGTGCTTTTGAACTGAAAACATCAGATTTCTTTTAAAAGAACTGAGTGTGCCACAAAAGCATATAAATGTTTGGACTCTCATATTTTCTGTGCCGTAAATTATGTACTCTGTTCCACAGGAATGTTCAATTCACCGGGCATGCAAAGCCTCATGCAACAGATGATGCAGAACCCACAGATGATGAGCAATATGCTGCAAGCCCCCTACATGCAGTCCATGATGCAGTCTCTGTCTGCAAATCCAGAGCTGGCTCAACAGGTAACTGCTGATACTATAGAGTGTTTCTGCAGAGGTAGGCATATGACCAATTGAGATGACTGTTATTAATATTGAACATCAACACAGTGACTGCTGTATAGACTCTAAGGTGAGGAGAGGAGCTAATATGGGTTTTTGCTGATTGTAGGATGAAGTCAGTACTTGAAACCAGCTACCATTTTGTAATCTTTTATTACCACAATCCTGTTATCAGCATGTGAATAGACATGGGTCAACAATGCAAATATGTAAATACATTTTCTTTGAACAATTCTCCTGATTCCATCATGCCTGGTTTTGTTTGTTTTTTCATCAATTAAAAAATTTTCCTCTCCAGATCATTGGTAACAATCCCCTGTTTGCAAACAATCCTCAAATGCAAGCGAATATGACCAGAATGATGCCTAATCTTCTACAACAGGTAAGAGGCCCAGTATATCCTATGAATTTAAGGTACTTGCTTTTTTAAAAAGGTTTACTTGGAGCAAGCTGTCTTCATTTGAAATTTTTTTAAAAAATTCTTTGTTGTAATGGAAGAAATGCAATTCAGTTAAATTGTTCGAATGGTCAATACCTGAACAGGAGTAATTTCAGCCCACAGTTTTCATGAACTCAGGTTTGTTTGTGAGATTAATTCCTTAAGGTTATCATTAGGATTTTAGTCCATGTTTGTCCTTAACTGCCATTTTTATGAGTACATATCGGGAAAGGAAAATAGTTCTTAGCTTCAGGTGCCTTGTGGTTGTAAGCCTGACAAAAACAAATATACATAGAGAACAGATTTTCAGGTCCCAATTTTTTTTCTAACATCTATATTTTAAAAATTAAAAACATGTACAGAAAGAAATTGTACCTATCAAAAAGATTCCTGCATCCTGCTGATTTCACGATGTGCATGCAAGGCTGTATCCTCTTTTGTCTTGCTGTTAAATGATTTAGATTTTAAGCATGGTCCGCCCTTAACAGGCTTGAGGATGCTAAGTGTTTGCTGTCCAACCAACAGGGGCCAAAGGTTTCCTAGGCACTACTCTGGTCTAATGGTGCCACCTTTTCCCTGTACTTTGTGTTTACCCAGCTCTTTGTTATACTTACCACTTGCTTGGGGACATTGTTGGTGGGGGGAGGCCTCAACCTCACTGTGTGAGGCTGGCAAATGAACTAAGTGTAAGTACTAACTGCTTACTAATCCTATAATCCACAAGGATCTTTGGGGCACCCTAGAGAGGGCCTTATCAGGTGCCTCCACTTTTCACTGAATTTTTTTTTTTGCGAGCCTTTGAGTTTGGGCAATGTTGTCTGTCCACCTCTTCCTTTGCCTTCTTTTTCTCCACCCCTGCACAGTTCCCTGAAGAACTGTCTTGTAAAGGCCCCCTTGTTACAAGGCCAGTTTTCTTCACTTCATAGTAGACAGCAAGGCTAAATAGTGGCTCATATGTTGTTTTGCTCCACTGCGCACTTCCTCATTTGTGACATGGTCATTGTATGAGATGTCAAAGAAGGTGTAGCTAGTAGGGTATTAAATCATACTGAAACAAATAATAAGAATAAGCCTAGTTCCACAAACTTTTCCTTCAAATTCCAAAACTTCATTTTTAGAAATGGTTGAAAAGAGTATGGACTGTATCTTTATTTTTCAGATGCAAAATCCTGAGGTGCAGAGTATGGTCACAAATCCGCGTGCCATGGAAGCTCTTATGCAGATACAGAATGGCTTGAGTCAACTGCAATCAGAGTCTCCGACTTTGTTTTCGAGGTGAGTGAAAGGAGCGAGGACAGAAGAATTTTGTTGTTCTTTTGTTGTCCTGAAGGGAGAAGGGGTTGCAAATTTTTGCTTTGGATTTAAGGAATCCGTGATGATAGCATGTGGATGGATTTAGGATATTTTAGTTTTCTATAAAGTGGGTTAAAGTTCTCTTTAGTTAGCGGTTTGAGTAAATGTGCAGCAGAAAAATGTTTTTCTCACTTCTTTGTGTTTCCCTCTGTACAAATATATTTATTGAGTCTTCTTCTGAAATATTTAACACTTATTATTTTCAGTTTTGTATCTTTACCAAAACTTGAGAATTATGTTCATATTGACCTTTTTGCCATCAGTATGACGGGGATGGGTGGATTGCCGCAAAATCTTGGTACCAGCAGCCCGTCTACAACTACAGCATCTAGTACGTCGTCGCCACCGACCACAGCTTCAACAACAAGCCCAACCTCAACCACGCCCTCGTCCAACACAGGAGGGGGCGTCTCTGCCGGGGGTCCCCTCGGCCAGGGCCAGCAGAGCAACCCAGAAGCCTTCTCTACCATGATGTCTCAAATGATGCAGATGATGGTCAACGGTCAGCAGGTATGCAGCTGATTTATTACCCTTATTATCCAGTAAAGACTACTGTTATCTATAGCCTTTTCAGTTTCATCTGTCAGAGTAAAAAAATTCTAACTCATATATGAACTTACCGCTGTGAATGGAATTTTGCATGGGACTCCTATTAGCCAGTGACCAAACAGCAAACAATGGTTTGTTTGGTTTTTCAAATCTTGGTCCAGTAAATAAAAAGTTTATTTAATTTGGGGTCCTTTCGGTGCATGCACAGGATCAGTGCAATAAAAATGACTTGCATCAACCGTGCCTAAAAGTTGCTCCTGTTGAGACCCCAACACCACCTTACCCCCACACTTCAGAAGTCATTTCTCCAATGAGAACTGGTGGAAAATCGCCCAAGCTGAGATCATATCTCCACAAAATTGCGCCAGCAGACAACCCGGATCCGTCCTGTCGAGCCTGCAAGGAGGAGGACGAAACTATGGACCATGTGTTCCTGAGGTGTCCCGCCAGCTATCGTGCTAGAACCCGTCTGCTGGGACATTTCAGTAACCCACTTTCAGCACTTTTTAAGGACCCCCGGGCGAGTGTTGAGTTCCTGCGTGCTGTCGGCATCGCTGACTGTTTATGAAGCCACAGCGCCAGAAGAGAGAGAGAGAAGTCAATTCTCCCCAAAACCTACTAGATGTCTACCCGTGCATTTCAAAAAGTACTTATCAATCTGTAGAATCTTGTTTTTTAGGCATGCATTAAAATGTGTTAAAGTAAGCAGGTTAACTTTTTAAAATGTTTTATGTGCATGATGTAAATTGTCTATAGGGTTTTTTTACATTTGCTGTAGGCTTAACATCAAAGAAAGTGCATTGGAACCACCTTATTTTGCAGTAGCCTTCATTAATTGGCTTTTAGATTATGTCCGCCATCCAACTTTTTAGTCCTGCACACAGTGACTTACAAAGATTGAACTGAGCAATTTTTTTTTCCGTTTTAACCACAGACGGACAAAAATTAATAAGTGAAGTGTGTTCTTGTTTGTTTGTTGGGGTTTTTTTTCGCTTTTAGTTCTGTCTAAATGCAGATTTGACTCTGGCAATTCATGTTGACTTTCTTTGTTGCAGTATCAATGGATGTAACAATTTAACACTTTGCACTCACACAGCCAGTAGTACAAAATACCCCATCTGGTCACCCAGCCAGGAGAGTGACTGCAACAGACTTCTCGGGCCGACGCCAGGTGACCAAAACAGATAATTTTCACTGGCGCATTATTGGGCCAAGTGACTACAAAGTGTTAACCGTTTTTGTCCCCATACAGTCAGAAGCGACCCCTTGTGAGAAGTTAAGTTGTGGACAATGCTTTGTCACTTTTCAATCTGATCTTATCAGTCTTTGACCATAAATTTGACCGTCATGTTTGTGTGGTTTTTGGCATGAATGTCTTTTGATGTTTTTTGGGTAGTGGGTGAACAATTAATAGGTGCGAACAATGATAGAGGAACCACTAATTTTCACTTTTTGTCTCATTGACTTTTGACAGAACCAGGCCCCAGAGCAGCGTTTTGCCTCCCAGCTGGAGCAGCTGTCCACTATGGGTTTTGTGGACAGGGATGCAAACATCCGAGGTACTTGCTGTGTACAAATGTGTTGTATTGTCCCTAGTATCCACTGACTACTGGTTTTTCCAGAGGGGTGTGGGGTATACAGTCAAACCTGTGTAAGACAGCTGTCGATTGTCGAGGAGAAAAGTGGCCGTCTTAGACAGGACTGATGAAAATGAAGAAAACAAACCAAGGGGATTGTTGTCAACATTATCAAAGACTTGAGGTTCGAATATATCATGATTAGGCCAGAACCAGACAGACACAGAGACTGATGAGCTTACCTGAAAGCAGTGATGACAGTAGCAACACACACCCTCTGGCAACGAAGGGGATGTGTGAGAATATGGCATAGCTGAAAGATGGAGAGGAAGAAAGTATCTGTGTCAACGTTCATCCCGCCTGCAGAAGTACTGGAATCGAATGCATTTCAGTTAATGTGTGGGTTTTTTTTTGTTACAGCTGTCATCAAAATAAATAAATTTATACACACGTGTTAGTCTGTTTAAAACAACACTGACAATCAGAAGTCAGGGGTAAACAGAAATAAAATAAAATCTCAGATTTTTGTTACCTTCAATTTTAGCCATCTCTCTGAACTGAAAACCTAGATAAACCTTTTGGTTCAAAGGGACTCCACTGTTTGTTCAGGGTGAAGATTTTGCTGTCTTGTTTTTCTTTTGATTGTTAGGAGTGATTCTCCAGATTTAAAAAGTTATATGTTTTTCTGATGAATTTTAACTTGCTTGTTTGGCATTTACACGCAAAGGTTGAAACCTTTCAGTGCAGGAGCTTTGTGGTTTCTTCTTGGGGGTGGGGGGGGTTGAAATTGCCCAAATGAAAATATGGGTAGACTGTATATCATTTTGTTGTATAAAGTAACTTGCCAAAAGATGAAATGTTTAGGTTCTGTTATAGTTTTGTAAGGAAATTTCAGGAGGGTTGTTTGTTTGATGTCCATGTATATAGATATGTTTGGATGTTATGTAGGTAGACCTGCATGTTTGCCGACAATCGTCTGAAATCCGACAATCGCGACCTGACCTGCGAGCTGGCCGATGCTATCGCTAGGCCCACCTGTATTAGTCAATGTGCGAAGTGCGAGGCGTGGTCGACTGCCAGCGCCCCTCTTTTCCCCCGTCGGCTTTGTCGGCACTTTCGTTTTCGTGCCGACGTCGGCGTTTCCGACATAATTGTCGGAACCTGAGTAGAAATACGAATACGAAAAAGTACGACGACCTAAATTATCTACTTTCAGTTTCGTGCTCGAGCGGCCATTTTGAATTTCGTTTGTTTACTGATTGTTCAGATCATGTGGATTCTTTCAAGTCCGACTCACTTGTTCTACTCAAGATCGAGTTAATTTATAGATCATTATAGACCTCAGTGGAGAATTCATATTCCAATTCTATTTTGTCAAAGCGTATTATAGGTTGTGTTGTAATATTAATGTTGGTAAAATCATTTCATCAGGTGCGTGAATTATTTACTTAGAATAAAGATCTACACAGTACTGTCATTGGTCTAGATTCTAGACTCAGCTGAGTCCCTCTGTTCGGAATCAGATGCGGATTTCTCGTTCAAGGCCTATTCCTATCTAGATCTAGATCTAGATTTTTTAGATCACTAGATCTAGATCTATAAAATATTTAATTCATATTCCAATTCTATTGTATTATTGTATCAAACTCTTCATAGAGCAATGTAGGCCGTAGTCTAGATCTAGAATCTAGATCTAGATTCTATTATTATTATATGCTCCTTGTTTGTTTTGGAGAGAGCTTTTTTTTTTTCTTTTTCTTTTTTTTGACTTTGTACTAGATCTAGATCTAGCCTTTTTACATGAGGGCCGTTGCAGGTTCTTTTTTGGGGGTAGGGTTAGGGTTAGGTCTCTTTCTTCTTTATTGTGTTTGTTCGGGTCATTGCTCGTTACTCGGAAGCCCTTCCTAAGTTCCTTTTATGACACCCACAATTTAAAAGCTCTTATAAGTTGGGGGGGGGGGGCAAAATTTTCAGACAATCTGGTTGAGGCTCACATGCAGGTCTATGTAGGGTAGGGTGAAAGAAGAGTCCCCTGTGTGTGTCAAAGAAAGGGGAGAGAGGGATAACACCCCGTTAATAATTCTTGCTTTCTTTCTCCTTTTTTCCCCCCCAGCTTTGACTGCTACTTTTGGAGATGTCAATGCTGCCATTGACCGACTGCTGCAGCAGAGATGATGCCCAAGGGCTTGTTGTTCCACATAAAATTACATCTAAGAAAAGAAACATTTTGGCTTTGTTCTAATGTTATTTCCTTTTGTATTCAGCTGTGGGGTGATCATATTTGTGAGATAAGAAATATTCCATACTATTGTCTTATGTGTTAGGGTAACCAATATCTAAATGTTCGATGTTTCATATAGAATTTTCTGAGAGAAAAAAAGATATCGAGTTTCCACAAGACAATTGTTTATTTGTTTCGGTTCAAAGTGAATTACCCGTGATGTGATCTATTATTGAATCTTTAATTATCATACAGCCATGTTTCTTTGCTACACATAGTTGTTAAACATGTTTCTTTTATTTTCTCTTCTTTCTTTTCCCTGAAAGGGTTTTTTTTCTTACTTGTTTCTTGGAGGTGAAGAATTTTGTCTTGCTGATGTGCTCTTCAGCACTTTTATCCGGTGTTGGAAACTTCATGATAGTAAAGAAAAAAGAAGTCTTTTCTTAGTTAAAGCATTTCATTTTGTTTTGATTTTGTTTTCTGAAGCCATAGGAATCAAAATGTAAAATGATTTATGAATGTTTAGGACTAAGTTCCCTTTTCTTTTGTTTTTGTTTTTTATTATTATTTTGTGGTGAGGTGCTGGTATGAATGTGGGTTTGATTGAAATTAGGGGGTGGGAGGGAATGAAATAAATGTCTCTTTAGGTCAGCCATATTGTTATTTATCATTCTGATGTTAAGCCATCTACTGTGTACTTGAAGCATGTGAACTCTGATATTTGGTTTAACACATTACACCCTAAGGGCCTGGACGGGAAGTCCATTGTTAGATCCTAAGCAAGGGGAAAGAACCCACCTCCCGTGAATACTAGCCTTTAAAAAACACATTTTAAAAATACTAAACAAATTCCCAAAATCCTGAAAAAATAAACGTTAAAAAGAAATCTGAATGTAGTTTCAGAAAAATATAACTTTATGTATGCGCAAACTGTTGGAAATGTTCTAACTTTAGTTCAATCGGGGTATCCGACTAGTCACTCTCACTCTCAGCCTCGTGGTCAGGCCCTAGATCTAAATTCTAGATTTTCTCCGTCTGATCAATCGGAATCGCCCCAAACTCTTCCTACAACGTTTTCATCAAAATCTAAGCCATCTGATTTGTGACATGCTCGTTTTTGCTCAAATCCATCGTTATTTCCGTTTTCGAACTCAATTGTGTCGCTTTTCAACAAGTCGAGACACTTTCGAAGTGTTGGTAACGCAATCGCACTTCGATCAGCTCTAATACTAAAATTACTGGCCCGAAAAATTTCGTTTCGGTATCAAACGAAAGAAGAAACTTTTTGCTATACTATGCAAATCAAAATCCCGGACCCAGAGTCTCGTCAAGGCGAGACTTTCGTTTCTAAAGACGCTGGGTCGGCGCGGGCGGTTCCGGGCGAGTCAGGGTGGAGCGCGTAAGGGAATTCCCGGGCGATCCCGGGCGAGTTAGGGTGTAATGTGTTAATTGATGGAGGACCCTTGTCAACAGTTGTTCACACTTCATTGTTTGTGAAACACAAGTGCATGTCCTCACATAATCTGACTGTTATCATTTATTCATTGTGGGTTGTTTTTTGTTTAGATATTTTTGATGATACACAAGAGGTTTTTAATCAGACCAGTGCACTAACAAAATCACTAACAGCTGTGCAGTGGTTGTTTTGCCGACTCATTTTCTGAGAACTTGAAGGTCGTGCCTTCATGCCTGTTGTTACTACTACAAATTTCCAAGTCTGTGTCTGAACTTTCATTGTTAGTTCTCAGATAAAGAGCTGGATTGTAAGAGGAAATGGCAGTAAGTCACTCCTTTTTTAAATTAAGATATAAACCGGACGTGTTTGTCAAGCTAGATATGCAAGTGTTTGTATACCTGCATACTCTTATAATAAGAGGGTCAGTTTTTGTTAGTTTTTCTTGTTTTTAAGGAGGAAAATTTTAAGTGATTTTTGTCATACATTTTGAAGAACTGTTTGCTGCCAGTTCAAAAATGAGAATAAGATGTTGTCATAGCTGGATCAGGAGTTTCAAAATGTGACCAGTCCTCATTCTCTAGTGTACTATCTGTGAACTGAGCGTTGATCACATTCCAGCAGCATGCAGGCCAGACAACTGGACTTTAGGCTGGACTTGCTTGTTTCCTAAGAGACAGTTTGTTGGTTATTTTTTTAAAGAGACGGTGACTTGAAGCATGAAGTCATCACATTTCCTAACATCCCCTTTATCCTTTCTGTTGCAGCAGTAATAACCATGCGCCATAAGATGCTGTTTATACTTAAGTCTTTATATAACAGGTTTTCTTTTTAAGATGTCGAGTTCCTTCACACTGAAGGGTCTGCCGCTGATGACTGCGCTTGGCTATATTTTAAATGCCCAATGTAATATTCTCACTTGTTCGTAGCTTTGCCTAAAAACAGAAGGCAGATGGTCTGAACTGGAAAAACAAGGGAGTCTTCTTTTGTTCACCCGGAGACAGCATTTGAGTTGCAATTTAAAATTTTGTCAAGGAGTCAGAGAAAAGAATTTTTTTGTCGAGTGCTGTCAGGGCTAGCAATGACTGTTAAGCAAGAGGCAGGTAGTGCCTGTTTGACAAGAGCAACACATCAATAGAGTTTTTATTCCTTTGAAAATTGAATCTTCTTCGCAAGTCACAGAATTTCTTTATTTTTTTTCTACGAGAATAACATCACTGGAGAACATTGCTCTTTTCATCTCTGAAATTGTAACCTTCAGTGTTTTCCTCCCCTCTGCAAGTTATAAATGTCTCTTTTTTTTCCCCTCAGTGTTGTGGTTCATAGTGTTGGTTCAAACGTATTCCGAGATTTTTTTAACGAAAGAGCACAATGAATGTCTTGGCGATAAAAATTTACTTCAACTCCCAGCCTCAGGAAAGTTAGAATTCTTTATTTCTACCTCTATAGTTTAGTTTGGAAAACGTTTTTGTTATGGCAAAATACTACTTCCCCTCCCATTCTAATTTCTAAACATTATTTTTTTTGTGTATTTATTTGAAAGGCATGATTTTTTTTTCTTCTCAGTATATATGTGCACATTATTTTGTAAAATAAAAGATATGAAATATACTGTTTCAAAAAAAGATGTGTTGTATTTATAAAGCATGTTATGTTCCGAGTCCAAACAAGTACTTTTCAGAGGAACTCTTTCAAGTGAATTATCGACTTATTTTCTAGTTCTAGGGGCTGGTCTTTACTCTTATTCTCATCTACAGTATAATCCGCTTATATCAACATGCTTTGGAAAGTGGATTTGATGTCGATATATTTATAAAAATGTCGATATATAAAAATATAAAGCCAAAGAGGAAAAAACAAGGGGAGGTCAGCGGTAAAAAGACACCACTACTTTTTGACGCTGTTTGCTTCCCTTGATTCTTACAAGGGAAGCAACAACACAGTGAAACTAACAAGAGGGGAGGGGATCGTTGGAGTTAGTTTTGGTACCAAAGACCGAGCAACGCGAGGCGTATACTACACACCAGCACAAACTTTTTTGTAGCATCCTTGTAAAATGTAAGGCCTGTTTGTGTTTATGGCCGCTTGCTTGGGAAAATGGAAAGGCGAGGCACTGACCCACTGACCGTGGCACTTGCCAGCGACAGACTGCGAATGGGATGGGGAAGGGAAGTAAGCGATTGGGAGTGGGGGTAGGGAGGTGATGCCCAGCGCATGAGACGCTCATGTCTGAAGCACTGTACTGTGTTGGAGACTACACTATGTAGGCCCTATGTGACCTACTAAAGCCTGGTGTGTCGAATAGGCTACTTAGCGGGTATGTGGACTTGATAAAGAACTAATGCGTTGACCGTTAGTGTGGCTTTCCCCCCTTTTTATGTTCGTGGGCTTCGCCAAGTACCCAGGAAGCATGTCGTTAAAGTAGAGAGCCGAAAAAAGTCGATATAAGAGAAATTGTTTAGTAAAGATATTGGAGGAAAAATTTTGTAATTGGAACACAAGTCGATACATTGGCTGTCGATATAAGTGGATTATCCTGTATTTGCATGATTTGCCAAAAGTATACTTGGCAATATGCAGATGGTTTTTTGTCATGTGAATGGAAGTTGTAAGTGCATAAATGACAGCAACATAGATTTCCAGTAGAACTGAGATTGTACCCTGAAGGAGGGTAATTGGGCAACTAACGGAGATAATACCTCAGCATTGTGACTGGCATCTGTGGTGTAATAATTACGTGAACTTTTTAATTTTACGCTGGTACACAGATGAAATGAATTCAAGTAGCATAGGATTGTGAGGAAGATATTTTTTTTTCTACCTTTTTGATGCCTCCCTTCCAGAATCATCTGAACTGTGTCATTGTGATTGTTGGCGCAAACATTGACAATCGGTAAAGAAAAAAAAAAACCCATCAGAGGCCAAGAGGCTAGTATTGGCTTTGTGGTGTCGTGTTTAGGCACTTAACTGCCGCATGCAGAAAGTGCAAGTTCGTTGAAGTGGGGAGGTTTTTTTTATCAAGTATCTCCATACATCTTGTGGAACATTGTATCCCTCTCAACCCGGATGGGCCCGCTCTGTAAAAGTAAAAGGATACTGGCAAAGGCAAATTAGCCCACCTTCTGAATAATGAAAACTGTCTGTGAGGGCATAAAACATTTACAATTACTGAAAAAACTCATATACTGCCACCCTTGGGATGAGCATGAAATTGGCAGTATAACTAACAGGGTTCCAATGCGGTCTTCTGTTATATATTTTATAGCCCCAACTGCTCGTCTAGAGAAATGATTCTGCATTGTGAACTGTTTGAAAATTGTCCGTTTGTTGGTGATTTGCATGCATTTGTGTTGGTGCCTGGAGAAAGGTACGGCATGACAAAGACGAATTTGCTCAAACTGAGATGCAGGCCAATAAAAGTTTTTTTAAATTAGATTATTTACAAAAATTGAGTTCAGTTTTTAAAAAATGATTCTTAAGCGATTTATCTACCAATACTAACAAGGCTTTGCGTTTTATAAGAAATGTAATTTTGAAGGCATTGTTTGACAGAAGTCATCTTACGTAATCCCAAAATAATTGTGAGAACATTTGATGTCAGATTCTACGTTGGTGGAAGGTTTCTAGGATGCGTTCATAAAAACAAACCCCATCAACACATTTCATACCAAATTTAAGGTCAGCTTGTGACCTATCTCGATTTGGGAAGTGCACATAATGAGTGGGTGTAACAAAACACTAAAGGATGGCAGGTTTTGCGCATCAATACCCTGTTCCGCTTCATTATCAAAGCCACTCTTTGTAATTTGTAGTATTGTGGTGATGTACAGTGATTTCTACCATTCATTCATAAAAATCAACCCCTTCACATTGCTATCAAAATTTAGGTCACTTTAAGTCCATTCTCATTGTGTGTAGTGCACGCAATACATTGCAAAAGAAGGGAGACTTCGCACATACATGTAGCCTCCCACACTTTGAGAGCAAAGCGAAGTCGTTAAAAAAAATGTTTTGTTCTACTAGACCAAGAATTTGCTTTGAAAACGTTTTGATGACACTTTGAAACTGTTCAATTGTCTTAAACTGCTTTTTTTAAGTTGCCATTTTAGTAGTAACAGTAACAATGTATTGTCAAGAGTTTTGAAGACAGAGAAAACAACAGATCCAAGGGAAACTTTAACTTTAAAGCTATTTTTTTTAGCTTTGTTTACATGATATTATAACCAGATTTCCCAAAATCTTAAAATTTTTCAAAAAGTTGTTCAGAAATGACTTTGGTATCGTACCAGAACATGCAATAAAATGCAGCTCCTCAGAACGCGTCATACTGGTACCTTTCACCAGGCACACACACACATTTGGAGGTAAGATTCTCTCTCAATACTCTCATTCCCTCTCTCACTATGTGTGTGTAAAATTTCAAACCCAGCTATAAGTTTAGAAACTCAGAATCCCAGACCATCAAAGAAACTAAAATAACAAAGTAAAAACTGTTCAGCGTTTATTATTTACAAAAATGTCTCATGAGTGATGCTGCATGGTTTCAAAGACCCAATGCAGCACTTGTGCAGATTCAAAGGATGAGATCATCACTTGATATCCATGTACTGAATATCTGTGACAAGCAAAATGTTTCTGGGCAAAGGTCTTGGGGATGGAGAGAGGACTGTAAACGTGCTCTTGTCCATGTCCACATTGGTGCTGAAAATAGAAAACAAAGACATTGAAGGGGAATTCAATATTTAATAGACTCCCCCCACCAAAGAAGCTTTAACAGAAAGTTATTAAAAGTCAGGGGGGGAAGTCCTACCTACTCACTACAGAAGCATACCACCAGTAAAATGTGCAATGCATCAAATTGCAATATTAAACAACATGCACTGCACCTATGCTCCAGCATGACCATTACTCCATACCACTGGACCAAAGTTCTTCCTTGGAATGGACCCAATTGTCAGATACCACTGGTAACTACACTACCACATGAAATTCATATAAATTATAAAACTTGAAAAACAATAGATAGCAAACAACTCGTGGAAACTGAAGACCCCAATCAAACTCTTGTAAACTTTAATGTGCATAATGCTATGACCATAACCCAAGATGGCAGCACCTTCAGTGTGCACTGATCGTACTAATCTATTCCAACTGATACTTTTGTGGTGCATGTGCCTGCTGAAATAATGTCATTGGACAAAATCTACTTCTTTTCTCAAGCATACACAGACAACATATGTGAGGCAGCGTGGTGAAATCACTAAATCAGGCACTCGTCAAAATAATGAAAGTCAAGAAACTGGCATTTTTCAGCAGGTTTGGGAATTTTTATCAAATTCTTGTTTTTTGGCTCAACATCTTTCGTGCCCTTTAAAAACCTCATTTCTGTGTGGATTTTACTGAAAACATTGATTAGATGCTTAAAAGATGTAAATTTTCAGTTTCCATGGACACTCATCAACTGAAGGAAATAACTTTGGCAGCCATTTTCTCGGTAATCTTACCTCTAAAACCAGACGACCCTCACCTCCTTCAATCGACAATATCTTGACTGGTATCCAAGATAAAAGAATATTTTATTCATCAAAAAGCAATACAAATGGACAGGCTTTAACCAGATCTGTACGTCGTGCTTTACTATCGTACCCATACGACGTGGGGAACTCTGTGCCATCACTTTCCAAAGAGAAAGTTTACTCATTACTCCAATCCGCACGCTTTGCATAGCAGTTTGTCAAAATGATTTTTTGAGAAATACTGAAAGCGTCAAAATGATTTTTTGAGAAATACTGAAAGTTTCAAAGAGATCTTCGTACTTCTAAAATGTGAAGAATACAGCCCCAGGAGTACAAAATGACCCCAGGGCGTACGGATAGGGTTAAGACGATACCAGTAACTCCATATGCCCAAAAATTGACAAGCGCCTGATTCCACCGTATTGTGACACATATTATCTCCCAGCATTCGTGGATTACTTGCAAAATGATCAATATCACTATACCTCTTAAACCCCCACAAAAAGTTTTTAAAATCCAAAAATTCAGGAAAATGGCAGACAATTTAATGTCCCCCCAATAGGGTGAAAATTCTCATTTTTAATGATAGCGTGTTCACTTACACAACCAGGAATCCCAGCACATTGGTCTCCACAATGTCTTGGTCCACAGCCGTGGCCGCACTTACACTGAGAACATGGTGTAGCAGACTGTTGGCTGAAAACACAACAAAGTAACAATTACTTGATTAAGCTGGATACTTTTACTGCATATCAGGCAAAGTTGACAATTTGACAGACTAATGTATTGTGAACTCTTAATTTTAAGTCAAATGGGTTTGGAATTAGTTCCAAAACATCCAAGGTCACTGCCAAGCTGACTTGAAAATTTCCAAGGGTGTCCATATACAGTGGAAACCTGATATAACAGGGATGGTGGGAGTAGAGAAAATGTCCTGTTATATCCGATCCCTGTTAAATCAGAAATACAAAGGAAAGTAAGCATTTGTGGACTAATCCAGCGGTACTTATTTGTGGATAGTTTCCCTTGCCACAAGTACCCACGAACTGGGGTTTTGGCACCAATTTTCTCCCTGCCTCCTTAAACCACATCAGAAGAGCTTGGTCCTCGGCATTTGCATCAGGTAGTCTCATCTTCTTTCGATCCATAGCAAACGTTTCATTGGAGTATGCTGCCACTATCTTCTCTCTATCCTTGATAATGGTGTGAATCAACCATTGTGAAATGTCGAACTGACGACAAATCTCCGCCAGTGGAGCTTGCTTTTTGTCAGCAGCCTAGATTATTTCGTATTTTTGTCAATTGAAAGGCACTTTCTCTAGCGCTTGACATCGTTGGTGACACATTACGCGTGTGTGTTGCTAGGTTTCAGGTGAGATCGAGGTCTGCACCACACGCTGCGTGTGCTTGCAGTGGCGTGGCTTGCGTGGGCTTCTCTTTCTCTCTCTCCCTCTCCCTCTCTCTCTCTCTTACTTTTTACGCATTGTTAACGAGCCTTTGTCCCTGCTATAACCGATTGGGCTCCGATGAGGCCCTATTATTGCCGATAACTTTTAATAGAGACAAAGAGTAGGAAAAAAACGGGGATTTTAAAAAACCCTGTTATTACCAGATCCCTGTTATTACCGGGCCTGTTATATATGGTTTCCACTGTATATATAAATACAGTCAAACCTGTGTAAGACGGCCACCCATTGTCAAGGAGAAAAGTGGCCGTATAAGACAGGTGGCCGTCTTAGGCAGGACTGATCAAGAAGAAGAAAACAAATTATTCCTATCAGAGGTCCCAATCGAAAGTAGTCGCATTGTTTTTGTTGTTGTTGGTGGTGGTGGTTTGTATTTTGTTTGTAATTTTTATTTTGTTGCTGATTTCGCAAAAGGGTGACAATAAAACGAAATGTATCAGACAAGGAAGACCGAGTGCGAAGTAAAAACAAACTCCTGGGTCGCCACCACTCGGAGAACGAGCGACATTTCTGTCACAAGTTCATGTTGACGTCCTTTGTTATTTTGTTACAGACTGGGTAAACAGTAACCACTCATCTCGCTTACGATTTGTGTTTTAGTTCTGGGCGGGGCTTATGGGTTATGAGGGATCACACGCTTACCTCACCAGCAGCTGAAAATTGGTAGCTATTGGTCAACAGTAGGAGGGGCCTACGCAACATGATCGGTTGGAGGGACTACCTAACAACAGCGACAGGGGATTGAATTATGACGGCTTGCCCACAACGTCAGGGGCCAAAGCACAATTTATGACTAAACGAAATGGAGTCACTAAGGTGGCCGTCTTAGACGGGTGTTATTGCTTAGTGTGATAGGGGTTGTGTGTTGAAATAAAGTGGCCGCGGCCGCGTTGGACAGGTGCCCATTTTACACAGTTAAATTATATAGAAAAAACGCAAGGGGAGAAATGGAAAGTGGCCGTTTGTACAGGTGGCCGTCTTATAGAGGTGGCCGTAAGGGCAGGTTCGACTGTATATATCATGCATTCCTTCTGCGCGTGCACGCGTTTTTTTGTTGTTTTTTTTATCCTGAAATATCACGTCAAAGTCTCCTAGTCCAAGTGTTTTACATGACAGTTTCTGCTGACACAAAGTTTAACGAGTACTTCACACAACAGAAAAGAAGGCAGAGTAAGATTTCAGAAAAATTTGGTGCAACAGATTTTTTTTAAAGTTTAAAAATTAAAAATCGGGATACACGCGATCAATATCGGGAAAGTCGGGACACTTGAAATTTGGGGGCAAAAAATCTGGATATCCCGATTAAATTGGGACGAGCGGCAGGTTTGGAAAATACACTGATTCATTATCAGGGCCATCCCAGGGTCTACATTCCAGTCTTTCCAGACTTTTGATGGCGGACAATTCATATTTACAAGTGGGTTAAAGAAGGATAGGGGTATTCTCACTGCAGGGATAAACTCAAGGCACGACACAGGCAAATGCCAGCGACCACAATGTGGGCGGAGCTTCTCTGCTGAAGCAAGCCGGTGTCGCCGGAAACTGCACACAGCTGATAAGTAGGTCGACTGCTTCTGACTTGACACAGAGTCACAGACAAAAGGTGACTGTCGTGTGAGTGTGTTGTCAAATCATTGACTCGGCTTCGGGGTAGGTCTAGAGAAGGGGGGGTAGGATGCTTGCCAGACGCACACCACCTACGTCTTAAAGCGTATGTAAACCCCCGCAACGAAATTTTAAAGAGTACCGTAAGTCTCACGCACCACCAAAACTTTAAGGGGGAAATCTGCAGGTTTAAGGGGTAATATACGCACATTTGTACGTAATGGGGAGCCCTGTTAGGTATAAACGGGGCAAGGAAAGGCCCGAACTTGGATACAACAGGAGAGATCGAGCGAACTTGGGGCGAACTTTCGGGGAATGGGGGGGGGGGGGGGGGGCTGTAGGCGGGCTCCAAACAGGCAGTCAGTGATGTGGCATTGTGATTGGCCAGTCCAGTGATGAGTGAGGTGGGGCAGGCGGCAGAGAGAGATGGTGCGGGCAGGCACGTTACGTGAGCCACTCCAAAGGAAGAGATGGGCCATAGATCTAGCCTAGACGCTCAGTATAAAAGCATATAGGCCTAGGCTAGGCCAAAAAGTACAAGAAGAGGAGAGCATGTAGTGTGTGATTCCTGATTCATAGAATAGCCATCATTGATGCTCAAGCAAACGCACCCATTCACTTCACCAGTTCTACAGTAGGCCTACCGGTACGATAGACAACACAAGCAACAAGACCCAGGAAAAGATGGCTTCCAACAAAGACAAAAGGAAATGCTTCTCACTCAAATTGAAGGCTGAGATAATCAACCAAGTTGACAAGAAAAGGAAGACTAAAGCGCAAATTTTATTGATATGAAAGGAAGGTAATCATGTGGATTTTTTGGGGGGGGTAATTCCCCTTTGCATTCCTATAGTGGGAACTAGCCTACAGCAGGATATTTCCTCTGGAACCTAAAGTCCCACTATAGCCGCGTTCTATTGTAAAATCAAACAGTAGATAGACAAACAGACTGGGTTTTAACTGAAGCAAAATCAGACAGACATTTCCATATGGCCAAAAATATACATATATTCTGATAAAGGTGGGGGGTTTTTTAAGCACTTATCCAAAGGCTTCTAGTGCACACTTACTGGGCAAAGTTGGAACTAGTTTTGTTTGGCTGTCTTGAGCTTTTGTACCAAGAGGTAAGCAGGACTCAGGGAGGGATGGGGCTGAGGAGAAAATAAAAAACGTACAAAGTAAAGACCAGCCATTTAGACACACAATCTAACATTGAATTTTGATTTAAAGAGCAGAACATCGGTCTGACTTCAGTCATTCAGTGTTGGGGAAAAGCAAGACAGACAAAAACAAAAGATGTAGAGGTAAAAAAGTAGGACTGTCCAGTCGGTTGTCCAAGCATCCACATTTAGCATTTGCTATAGAAAAAGAAAAGGAAATAATAAAGAGACATCTTATATTTGTTCTTGCGGAAATTTGGAAAAGCACAATACAAATTTAACGACTCAGAAATCAAATGCACAAAATCACCAATCTTCTGAATTGTGATTCAGATATCTTGCTCAAAGACATCCCAGTTATTGTCAAGTCCAAAACCTAACCCACAAACATTGCTCGACTTTGTGAGCCTATATTCACAGGTCACTTGACAAGAGGGAGCACTCACAATTATCAGTCGGTCCTATTTAGCACATAGAGGGGATAGTTCTACATAATGTGTTTTAATAGAAGCTATCTCAATTCAACCCCTCCAATTTTTAGCCTAATCTATTTGTTTCTCTCATGAAATAAGAAACCAATGAGTGATTTTTCTCCAATTCAGACATGAAACTAAAGATTGCAATCTTGTATAAATTCAAACAAAAGCAATGAGAAAAATCAAACTTGTTGAACTGAAAACAGGCCCAAAAGAATAACAAACAATACAAAGGAACAAAGATTTTAACCGGTAACTAGTTTCCGTGTTACCCCCAATTCTCAGTCTGTGACTTCTTTACAGTTCAATAAGCCCTAACAACCTCTTTCCTGGACTCAGCCTATGTTATCTTTGTGGGTACTATTTCAACCATTACAGTTAGATACTATGCATGAAGATGTGCTTTTGAAACAGGTCACTCAAGCAAGTATTTTACCTCCAACTTTGAACATTTTCACATCATTGAACTTCACATCAAAGCTATGAGGAAAAAAGTTATTCTTGAGGCCATAGAAATACTCTCTGATTCGACCATCTCTGGCCTCAGCTCTGGCTGCCTTTGATCTTTCCACTACCTGAGGGGAGAGAGAGAGAGACAAAATGTCAGCAACCATTAACTTCTAAAATATTTTTAAAGCCAGACTTGAAGACACAGAAGAAAAAGATGACGGCTGGAGAAAAGGGCAGAAAAATATGGAGTGGAACAAAAAATAAATAAATGCCAAACATGAAAAAAAAGAGAGAAAAACTCCCTCAGGCATATGGACACACAATGTTGTGCCAGATTTGGAAAATATCATCAATAGACAGGGCAGATTTCAACACAAAATTTAAAGCATTTCTCACCATGAACAAAAAACAACACAAACCAAATACTGATTTTCAAAAACCATGAATTACGAAAAATTCAGACAATGCTCATTTTAATGTGTTGGTTACCACAGAACGAAAATATAAAAGAAAATTTGGACCATGAGCAATTCACAGGATTCCTTATAACACATTTACAAGCACGAGTATATATCACCATAAGTTTGAATTACAACAGTGTTGACCGCCTGATTTAATTAAGAACGAAAGAAAAACTTTACAAAGTGTACGCACCCCTCCTGACTTTGGGAGCAGTACAATCTTGACAAAGTCTGGCAAGTCCCCTTTGAGCTGGTTGTAAAGACGCTCCTGATCCAAGACACATATTACATCCACTGAAAATGAAAAAAAAAAAAGAAAGAAAACATCTGATAATAAAAATCATTGTCCCTTTCTGGCTTAAGAAAAATGAAGAGAAAAACAAATAAATATGAAAGATATTTGTACTATATTTAGAAATAAAGCGGGATGGGCACATCATCAATTCTGAAAAATGCTTTCAATTGATGTCACTTTTCATAAAATAAATTTAAGCCTGTTCATTTTTTTCTAATGGTTCAGAGATTATTCAAAGGGAATAACACTGCACACTAAAATTTGGCATGCAGGAACATTTGAGGTGTTTTACATTGACCTCAACAACAATAACAATGTCTAAGGCACTTCAGAATAATTTCAGCCATTATTCTTCTCTGCAAAATATTGTCTGAAAAAAAAGGCTTTGTTTTTTTTTAATATAGTGTTAGGTGGTCACGTGGCAACATACTATGAATAACCAATTGTGCTTGTCACACTGTGAAGGTCATAATTTATTTATGCTAAAGTTATGTATCATATAGTGATGGTTTGACAGGTAGTTAGTGTATTGGGTTCAAAATTACAAGTCAAACAATGAAAAAAGGGGTTAGCTATTAGATGGGTGACCATAGAAAAATGTCCTAACTAAGACCCATAAATCCGAACCTAAAAATCAAGTTGTTGCACTATAGCAACCAGCCATGGCAAATTCCTTTTCACGTTCTCAATGATTTTTTTGTTTCTTCCGTTTGAACCCTGTAAATCAACATAATTAGTATCAGTATACAATTGAATCCGTAAAGGACGAATACAGCAATTTTGTTTGTTTACAAGCCACAAAGCACTTTTTTTAAAACGCTTAAACACAAAACACACACAAATGGCATGCTTAACTCTCAAGCAATTACAGCATGCTATTGCCAGGTCTTGACAAGCCTGTCAAAGAAAGACAAAAAAAATCAGAGGCCCCACCTCTAAAACAAATGAACAGTACTCACCACAAAGGCCTGTTAACTCACTTGCGACTGGGCCCTTTCACCAGTCACAAGCGTTGAAGACTGGCGTTTTTGGGGGTATTTCAATAAATCACCACAACTCTCAGAATTACCCTATTGTAATTATTTTTTGACACAGTAAAGTAACATTCAAGCTTAATCTAATACAAGAAACTAAAGTTGTCTAAGTCTAATACTTTAATTTGTATGATTTTTTTAAAACTGGCATGAATTTGATTTTCCGAAAAATTTCCAGAGACATGACAAGTAGAATGAAATTCCCTACAACAACAAAAATAAAAGTTCAAAGGGTTCTGGTTTGATTTGTATACATGTGCAAGTGTTTGGTGAAAATATAAAAGCTGGTCTGTGCATTGATTAAGACCCATACACTGAATTACATGAGACAGATGTACGGCACGACGTTGACGACGTTGTGATTTCGTTGCACGAAAAACAACACCGGTACTAGTGCTAGATCTAGCCCTAGAACTACGACTCGGGCCGTGTTCGGGTACATATCCAGGATCCTAACTATTAGACACATCATATTCTGAGTCACTAGAACTAGTAAAACGTACAGAAGTATAGAAAACGGCGAAATTATGTGATCCTTGTTTATGCGACTTCTTCCACCGTTACTACGACGCGACTGTCAGATTACTATCAGCTGTATAGAAAAAAACAAAGCGCGAGTTCCGGTCTGTTCAACCCCAGTTGGGGTCACTGTCCTTCACCTTCAATAACTTAAAAACTACCGGCCCCAGAGATACGAAACGAGGTCTAAATAGCTCAGGCTTGGCCAAACAAGGGTACGAGGCGGGTCTCGCGATCCGTGCGTGATTTGTATAGCGAAAAAAAAATTCCAAAGTTGGTCACGCAGGGCTTGTGAGACCCGTCGCGAGCGTCACGGCGGGGGTCACGTAACTGTTGTGTGAGCCGTCTGAAGTGAGTTAAATCTTTACCAAACCAAACCAGGCATACAAATATTTACAAAAATAACAACAATGCCACTGACCGCTGACTTACCCTCAAAGGCGCCTGCTGCTTGCTTCAGAGACTCATAGCCAGCTCCTCTGATCCAGCCAGCTGTGTTGATTATGACTCCACTGGAGTTGACTGCCAAAAAGTGTAAAAACGGTTATGAAAGTTGCAGAAAAAACAAACATATTGTATACTGCTCCAAGGCAAAAAAATCACTCTAGGCCAAAATGAAAAAAATAAATAAATAGGGGAACAGTATTTTTATGCACAACAAAACATATAAAAAGGGCCCATAAGTAAATATGTCAAACAATCCTGTATCTTAGAGGTACTGCATGCACAAATACACAACAGCTCCCTCTGGACTTCCTCAAAGACAAGGATACATTCCTCCAAAAGGACAAACAGATCAAATGTACTTCAAATTACCTTTTTTACTCTGTTCACACCTCACACTAATAATCTCAGCCATTCTTGAGACAAGCATGTTGTACAACTGAAGGTTGTCGTTAGGGTTGTTGTGGCCATAGTGAAAGATCAAGGGAGCTGTCTGCTGGAACCCTTCCTCCACATCAGCTGTTCTCTCCACAACCATGGCTCCTATGTGGGGACAGAACAACGATAACAATAATAATAGTAATAATAATTTATGATAATAATATTAATATTATTGATGATGATGATGATGATAATAGTAGTAATAATTAACTCATAATAATTGTAATCTTGCATTTCTAAGTCTCATCAGAAGATTAGACCGCTCCATTCCTATTTTAGTACACCTTTAACAGAGTTCCAGTTCAATTTACAGATTTATTTCATTCAGAGATAACAATATTTTGTTCTCTCAAATAAAGGTGAATTCAAGCCCTTACTTTACACTTCGCTATTCTTATCATGTTATAAGTATAGTGTGACTTCAACACCATCACAATATAGCTGAGTTTTGTGTGTTAATTCTATGGCCACATCTACACCAGACCATTTCTGAACAAGTAAAAATAAAGTTGGCAGTCCAGTGCACTCTCTTCGAGCAACTCACAGTTATGCAGGATGCAAATTCTCTTTTTATTTTCATACAATACTTCAGTTTAACTTTCCACAAAGCGTCTCAGAGGTAAAAACCAAAAAGAGAATACCAATAGAATTTCACAAAATATTAACACATGCCATACCCCTTCATCTTCAAAAAAAATTCAGAAGAGAAAAACTTACCTATAGTACCAGGCAGTCCCAAGCTTCCCTGAAAAAAAAACAACCCAAAAACATGTAAAGTCATCAGATGTACACAGATGATCACAATATAACATCAAGAGCTAGAATCTACCAGCTGTACAAGTCAAACGAAAGAACACAGTGACTATCGATCACATTATAATATGAAGAAATGATAGACAAAATATAAAGGGAAAAGAACGAATTAAAGCCATGTGGTTACACCTCATCCACACTCAAATACTGAAATAAAATCTTTGTAGCCTCCTTGCTCATCAATATTTTATACAAGAAATAAATCAAATTGTTTCAAAAAGACACCCTTCCAACTTCGAAAAAAAATAAGTCTCTTCTTTCCAAGTTTATGGTATTAAAATAAAAATCACACACATAAGGTCAAGCACAAAGTTACAAAGCCTGCTGACTTTGCTTTTCATATTTTCCATGTACAACGGCAATAGAGATACATTAGAACATGACTATAGCGAGACATTTGGTTCCAGAAGAAAAATCTCGCAGTTGACGAGTTCCCGCTATAGGAATGCAAAGGGGAAATTACAGGAAAAATTTCTAAAAATCCACATGATCACCTCCCTTCCATATCAATAAAATTTGCGCTTAAGATTAGTCTTCCTTTTCTTGTCAACTTCGTAGGTTATCTCGGCCTTTAATTTAAGTGAGAAGCATTTCCTTTTTTGTCTTTGCTGGAAGCCATCTCTTTCTCGGTCTCGTTGTTTGTGCTGTCTATCGTCACCGGTAGGCCTACTGTAGAACTGATGAAGTGGATGTGGGCGCATGCCTATGAACATCAACGATTGCAATTCAACGAACCAGGAATCACACACTACACACTCTCCTCTTCTTTTACTTTTTGGCCTAGGGCCATGGCCTATATGTTCTCATACTGAGCGTCTAAGTACTCTAAGCTAGGCTAGGCCTTCGGCACATCACTTTTGGAGCAGCTCACATAAAGCATCTCTCCGCACCATCTGTCTCTCTCTGCCGCCTGGCCCCACCTCACTCATGACTTTACTGGCCAATCACAACGCCGCACCGCTGACTGCCTGTTGGGAGCCCCGCCTACAGCCCCCCAACCCCCTTCCCCCCAGGAGGAGGAGGAGGAGGAGGAGGAGAAGGAGGAGGAGGAGAAGAAGGAGAAGAAAAAGAAGAAGAAGAAGGAGAAGAAGAAGACTTCACTTTTAGCACTTACCTGTCCCACATCAATATCAGCCAGAACAGGAGATCGTCCAAGTCTAACAGCATAGTTAACTAGGATGCGACAAAATGAGGACTTGCCAACATCTTGTGGACCCACTACAAGCATCTGGAAAGCAAGCAAACATTTGAAAAGTCACAGCATTTTTTTCACCAAAACAAAAAAAAATTCACATTCCTAAACCTGTCAAAGATTGGAGTGCCATGCTAACTGAAGTAACAAGAATTTGGATAGTGTAACATATTCTTCATTACGTTACACTTGATCTGGAAAAAAATTGTTTGCCAAGAGACAGTGGCATCAGTAGTCTAGTTGTTAGGCTACAACACTCATGATCGTGAAATTGCAGGTTTGGGGTTTCCAGGCTCAGCAAAGTACGAAGTTGTATCCCTCGGGAAAGGGGAAAGGCATTTTAGACTAATTTTCCGATTACAAAGTGGCATTGTATTTTTCAATGAAGAAATAATTTTTCAGGAATAAGAATTCAGACTAGCCTTTAACTATGAATAATACTGTACACGGTACGAAAAGTAAAATGATTTTCTTTTTGTGTTTAAATGTATATAAAAAAATACAATATGTGTCACGATGCTGTGGAATCAGGCGCTCGTCAATTTTTGGATACGTGGAGCTATTGGAATCATCTTAAAAATTTGTTCATTTGTCATGCTTTTGATGAAAAAATTACCCGTCTATCTTAAATAGAAGTCAAGATATTTACGATTGGCGGAGGTTTATGTTTTGTTTTACTTTGGGTAAGTGTTTTACGGCGCTCGCAACTGCTTAAGGTCATATGAGCGCGCAGGACACGCCAAACATTTTCTGTTGGTAGGAAATTGAAATTTTGCCCAGGTGGCAGCCGATTTTAGACCACCAAGGGATCTTTCACGTGCGCAACTTGCACACGGGACCTCCAAGATTTTTCACCCTTGTCCGAGAAGGCTAGGTGTAGATCTTTCCTACCAGAAGATCAGGGGTGTGGCTGAAAGACAGCAGTAAGAAGGAGCCAAGGAGTAGCAGTAGAAAGGCTGCAAAAAGAGTCAGGAGCCCGGAGGAGGGGGCAAAAGAGGGTGGGGGCAGAAAGTGGAGATGAAAGCAAACAACAGAACATTGCTAGAGAGCAGGAAAGGTGGTGAAAGGAGACAATTTTAGAGAAGAAAATTTTCCGCCGCTACCCGGACACAAACCCGGGACCTTTGAATGAGAAGCGAACACCTTAACCTCTATGCCACGAGAGCCCCCTTGGAGGAGGTGGGGGTCTTTTGGTTTCAGAGGTAAAATTAGCTCAAGTTTGGTGATTTCCACAGATTGAGAGTCCTTGGAAACTGAAAATTTGCTTTTTTCTATGCTTTTACTTAATGAATGCTTTTCAGTACAATCCAAACTGAAAATTGTTTATAAATGGACAAGTTTGTCAAAAAAAAACAAATTTGATATAAATGTCCAAATCAGTGGATAAATGCCGGTTTCTTCAATTTCATTATTATGACGAGAGCCTGATTTCACCACGATGACTCACATATCACTTGTTGAGCCTTACCCTTGGGCCTCTTGTGTTTTCCGCATCTGCCCTCTCCCTCATTTGCTCCATTGCTGCATGTGTATTGACATAAGTGACCATTGGGGTTTCTTTGGAGATGTAAGCTACTTCCGTCTTACCTTTAACCTAAAACACAAGAGAAAAAAATAGCAACATTAAAGATGAGCACCAAATTCTGCTTCCAACATTACAACACAGCTTCCACAAGGCCCTTACGACAACAGAGTTCCCCCACTCTCATTAGCAGCCAAAGAAATTTACTACGGTCTATCCAATGCGTCTAACATTGCTGGAAGTTTGTTTATCATCATGCACCATTTCTGGGAAAGTTTAAGCTCTCCCCCCCCCCCCACCCCCCTTCTTTTTCCATATTACCCACTACTCCTTTGTGTTAAATTGAGGATATAATGGTCAGTAAAGTCCAACTACGTATCTGACAAATTAGTCAAACACTGTTTTTTCTCGGGGTGGGGTGGGGATCATCTTTCAGAGTTATTTTTACTTCTATTTAAGAACGTTTGTTTTATTTAATAAAATATCAACAATGGTAATTACAGTTCTGAATAACATAATTTCATACAACAACAAAAAAAATGGTTAGAATGGATACGGACACCAATCTCTTTTTCACATTGTTACGTAATAAGTCACAAAATGTACAAAGAGCAAATGAAATAATGGAGATCATGTGTTAAAAAACAGACGGAGGGAGGAAGAGAGAGGGGGAGAGAGAGGAGAGAGAGAGAGGGGGAGAGAGAGGAGAGAGAGCGAGAGAGGGAGGGAGAGAGAGAGATAGAGAGAGAAAGAGAGAGAGAGAGATTACCTTGATTGTACACCCATGCCAAGTGAACACAGCAACTTTTGCTCCTGATAGATACTGATACTTTTTGTTTTTTGCAAGCTCTGTTCCAAACATTTCTGCCTGTCCATCCACCATCTACAAAAAGAGAAGTAATAAAACACATCATAAAAAGAAAAATTTTCAGAGAACACATGGTACAATGATTTTATTTGAAAATTTTGAAACAAGTTAGAGAATTTTTGTCTTTAAATTTCAACTATTGAGGCAGCAGTCCAAGTCAAAAGTTCTTTTCATTTTGCAGCCAAATAGCATCAAACTGCAAGACTTACTATAATATAACACCTCTTTGTTGATTTTTATCATTTCAGAAAGCGAAACACCATGTTAAATATTCTTTAAAATTACACACTGAAGTGAAAGTGAACGGCACGAGTAAGTTCACGATCATTTTTCCTGTTAGGTGAAAGTGCACTGAGCTGAGCCCTTTCCTTGAGAAAATGCATCATATACGAGGGGGCTTCAATAAGTCTTTGGTCTGGGTATGAAGGAATCATGGTAGAATAATAAAATTTCACCAGCCTTTAGACAATTTCTTTAGGACACACCACGCAAATTTTCGTGAAAATCTGACAATAATAAGGCACTAATGAGTCAAATAAAATAAAATCAATAAAACTATGCACAAAAACGTTTGGTTTTTCTTTGCTGAAGCTGTGCCCTGAAGCCTGTTGAATTTCACTCAGTTATCAAGGTTTTATACTTGCAAGGAAAACCCCCTTCGGACATTTTTCAGGAAATGGTCCAAGTTTATGGTGACAAATGTCCTCGTTATAATACTGCGACATACTGGGTAAGAAAATTCAAATCTGGATTCATGTCGGCGATGGATGAAGATTGTGAAGGGCGCCCATCCTTTGTGGTAACTGAAGAGAATGTACCATAGCGTACTTTACTAACAGGCCTACTCAGCGTGCGGCTGGGGTCTCGGACTGGGGGCCTACTATATCATTTAAGTATTAACGTCTATTTATCCAGTCGACTCCATATTCAGTCTCTGAGCATTGTTTCCAAAGGTAATTACAATATTTAGTCTTAAGTGACATAAAAATAAAGAGCTTAATAATTATTTATTTACTACTTAGTCCTACTACTATTAGATCTGTTATGCAATTTAGAAAAAAAATC